TTTTTTTGTTTTTCGAACCGTTGATCCGAACTGAAACCCCGATTCAAAGACCAAAAACACCGCTTTGACGAACCAATCTAAAAGTGCAAAAACGGTTCGAACCGCTGANCGATAGAATGTGATGTATGCAAAGTATTGATATGTCTACTGTAAGATGCATGAAAGCATTTGCTGATATTCAGCGTCAACTGATTTTTGCAGCACCATNACAAGTTTGGGGTCAAAGACAACACCAAGGTCCTTCATTTGGGTCACAGATTGCAAAACAGAGCCAGCGATAGAATGTGATGNGTCACCTCCCTGGTTTGTACACCTTCTTCTTAAGAATAGGAATGTACTGTAGGCATAGCTCGTAGAGAGTGGTCTTAAAAATATGGTAACAAGAGGTTACATCACTGTCACGGAAGCCATAAGTCCAATCTATATTTGATAGGGCACCATTTAAGGAAGAAAAATCACACGCTTTATAGTTAAACTTAATACTGCGATCATCTGGCAATGAATCAAAGTTATAAAACTCCAGCTCAAGAGTGAGAGAGACATGATGCATTACAGCCGGAGAGATGGAAGACATATATTCCGATAAAGTGAAGTTTACTTTGTCACTGATAAATACCAGATCCAATAGTCTATTTAGTTGGTTAAAAATACTGTTAATTTGCTGTAANCATAAATGTTTTGGATAGTGGCAAATATTTTAAGGTCATCAGCATAAAGTAGGTAATTAGCAAATTTGAAACAAGAACTGATATCGTTGATGAAAAGCACAAAAAATAGGGGCCCGAGGATGNTATAAATTTCTGCTGGAGAGCTCACGTTTGAAGCTATAAGGGTGGCAGAATCCCCACTTGGAGTCCAGTTCAACCGGCTAAAGTTGAAATCACCNGATGCTGCCTTGAGGGACACCCGAGGACGCGATGAACGGTTGTGAGATTGCATTATCGACTAACCCAAAGCAGCGCCTATCAGTTAAGTAGGATTTAACCCAAGACAAAAATGTGGAATGAAATCCAAAAGGAATCAGCTTCAGCAGAGGTAAACGATGTGATACTTAGTCGAAAGCTTTCGAGATGTCAGTGTAGATGGTACCCACCTGAGCTTTGTTTTCAAAAGCAGATAAGTAGTAATCACTGAAAATAGCCAGGTTTGTGACTGTTGAGCGGTTAGCGACGAACCCATGCTGGTTAGTAGAAATTAGGTTTTTAACAGCAAAAGACAGTTTACAGTTTACAACAATCTCAAATAATTTGGAGACTGAAGATAGCTTTGATATCGGTCTGTAGTTGCGGACATCATTNTGTTATCAGCATGTGTAACGTAAAGGCTTTCAGAGCTATTCGGCGGGATGTATGACGCACATATGTNCAGACAGGGGTTACAGACGTTTGTTTCCAGTCGTCCACAAATATACCTGAGGCCAGGGAGTTATTGAAGATAGTAGTAAGAGGCTCAGCTAAACATAGACAGTTTTTCAACAGAAAAGCCGAGAAACCCTCTACATCGCTCTGTGAAGATGGCTTAAGATCACCAATTCCTTTCATAACGTCCTCGGTTGAAATGGTTAACGAACCAAAATTCAGCGAAGAGTCACTAGGGAGCTGGGGCCCATTATATTCGAGTCCAGGTCATTGACAAAGTTAGCGCAAAAAAACTCAGCGAAAAGGTTTGCCGAGTCAGAGGCTGAATTTGCGGAGCGACCATTNAATATGGCCGGAGCAGCCGTGAATACAGACGCAAAATTGAGTTTGAATCTCCGTTGAGCCGCTATAAGAACACCACCGCCTCTAGAACATCCCGTCTTCTCAGCATCACGGTCTTTGCAAAAAATGTCGAAAAGNTGAAATTTGTTTAAGCAATTAAATTCTTTTAGAAAGTACCGGAACTTAAGAAGATGCGCGTAGTCGTTGGAGGATTTATACCATTTGCTAAATTTGTTTTTTTTTATTTATTTTTTAGATGCTTTAAATGCTTCGTATACCACGGTAGTTTGTACCAGGAACGTGAACCGGTTTTGAACCGAACCGGTTTTGATCCGGAAAACCGCTTGTTTCTATTAATTAATTGCACCATTAACCGAACCGAAATTTTCCACAAATGTTTGATCCGAACCGANAAATGTCGAAAAGGTCTGAATCAAACATTTCGCAATCAAAAAAGTTGTCGTTAAGCCATGATTCGACAAAAACGTATATGTCATATTCCAAATGAGCAGTTAACATACGAACCATTGCACATTTACTTCGAATGCCAGATATATTTTGGTAGTCGATTTTCAGATTATTATCATTGCAACTGCGATTTCGGCTAGTGGTTCGCTTCCGAGTTGTCCAGTTTTTGAAAAAAGCGGGACGGTCGGACGTTTATATTAGTCGGCCAGACATCTGGATTCGGAATTTTGTTATAGAATGCTGGTGAAACGTCAAATTTGAAGTTAAGGCTACGCAAACTATCGACAGAAGCACCCTTTTTANCTTTTTGTTAAACATGGTAATGCCTACCATGTTTGTTTACCATGTGACAATTGGGGTGTTCACAGTTCGTTCCAAATAGNAATTTTATCTTCAGTCACAGATGGTTTGAACGAAGAGATGTATAACCACTTCTTTTTAATTACAACGTCGAGGTCGCAGTTAGTATTACTGCCCACAACAATATTTTTATATCTATTTGATTTCTTGTTGCGTACCGTTTTCCACTCATACTTTTCAGCAACATCCGTAGAATGCTGTGTAACAGCGTTTGAAGGCAGCGGCGATGTGAGCAAACCAGACGTAGGAACAGGATCGCATGAATTTACAAACACATCAGCAGCAATAGGCAAAGAAGCATTCACTGACACATTACGGGCCACAGGCAAGCTGATTTATTGTTATTGTGCTTGGCACCATTAGCAGCATCACCAGCAGTAGGCAAAGGCGGAATAGGCAAAGCATTCACTGATGCGCTATTGTTATTGTTAATATGCTGAGCACCACTAACCGAATGCGAAGATGATGTTAAAGAGGATGGAGAGGCGACGAGTCATTTCAGTAATAGCGGTATAATTGCCATCATCAGGCGCACAAAAGTATTTTGAACAGCAGGCGGGCAGCTTTCCGAATTCTTCTTAGAAGCATTTACATTGTGGTTTGTTGTTTTAGAAACAGCCAATTTTAGGATATTAATTTCACTTAGCACTTTCGCAATGTTGTTGTTGTTGTCATTGGAATTTTTTTTTTGCTTATGCATTCTAACTGATTTTAGACTGCGTTGAGTTTCTCGTGTAAAGATTTGAATTTTGCATCAAAGTCTCTTTTAATGGACTCCAACCCATGTTGGTGTGTCGACGATATTACGTCAAGAGTCTTGCTTAATGTAGCTGGCATGAGTATGCATTCCGGACAGAAATAGCGAATGTGGCGGTTCTAGATGAGCAGACCAATATCGTATTCCGAAATTTGGCCTTCACAACACGCACGATGAAAGCGCTTCTTTAAAAAAACCACTGCAGGGCACGATACAAGGATCTCCTCGCGCAAAAACCTTGTCGCACTTGCCACAGAGGCCATCCATATTGAGCGTCGAAATTCACAGCGGGAAGCTTACACTAATTTTCAGAGATTTTGATTGTACAATGATTTTCGGTTGTTGAATCCAAACCCATTGTAAAGAAATGGCTTACCGCATACGCTCCACGGAAATTAAATAAAAAGTATGCTAACGCTTATATGTGCTTATTTATTGAAGCTTAAAAACATGTAATTGAATTCCATCGTTTGAATATAAAATTATACGTTGTATGGCTCGTTTTACACCTGTATGTTTCGTGCGCTTCGCTTACGCTTCCATCGAGGTATATCGAGAATTTTCATTTGTCAACTTAGCTCCTGTCCATCAGTTGGCTGGTGGTAGCGTTGCCACCTACAAAAATATATTACAGGGTACATAACACCCCACCCCCCGTGAATCCTCCTGGCATTCGCCATTAACCTCTAGTCTGGCTAGCCGGGATGCGGGCGTAGGAGTCCACCGGCCGTTTTCACCTCTACGACTCGCACTTGCCAATCTTTAGCTGGGAAAACCTGAGTGATACGGCCTCGTTGCCATTGCCTGCGGGGTAGCGTTGCATCACATACTATCACCAGATCATTCACTTTCAGTGGCGTAACTTTCTCTTGCCACTTTGTACGACGCAAAAGTTGTGGCAGGTACTCCGTAGCCCAGCGCTTCCATATACGGTCATTTATATTTTGTGCTATTCTCCATTGTTTGCGCAGGCAAATTTGCTCATCAATGGGGTGTGGTATCTGCGTGGAATTTTCGCCGCCGAGCAGGAAGTGGTTCGGCGTAATCGGCTCGTCCTCTTTATGTGACGCGTGCAAATCGGTTAAAGGGCGTGAATTAATAATGTTCTCCGCTTCTATTAGAACGCTTTGCAATGTGCTTATCCTTGGCGCTACCTCTTTCAATGTCTTGTTTAAGAGTGCTTTGACGACCCTTATAAGGCGCTACCAACAGCCGCCCGAGCCAGGGTTTAGAAGGCAATTGAATATCCACTCGATATTGTATTTTGCTGCTTCTGACTGTATGCGATCTGTGTCAAACAGTTGCTCCGATGCTTTCAGTGCTTTCTGTGCGCCGATGAAGTTGGTCCCGTTATCGCTCCTTATCTTCACAGGTGTGCCGCGGCGATTTATAAAATTGCGAAGGCACAGGATGAACGCGTCGCTTGACGAATTCTCTGCAAGCTCGAGGTGCGCAGCTCGGACAGTCAAACATGTAAATATGACGCCCCACCTCTTTTCTCGACGCCTGCCAATCGCTACGTGAAACGGACCAAACAAATCGACGCCAGTGTACGTGAAAGGGCGCACGAACGGGGTTACACGGTCAACCGGTAGTTGACCCATCATCGGTGGCTGTGGGTTTGCTCTGTCAACCGTACATATTTTTATTTATTTATTTTTATTTTTTTTACACCTTTGTCGCCCTCGCTTAAGAAGCGCCATAAAATTTGGAATTCAGTACCTTTGTCTAATGGCGTTGATGGTTACTGCGATATTCTGATGGTGGTTCCTCTCATGGACATCTTTGACAACTAAGGCCGACACTGCGTGTTCTGGTGGTAGCAAAATCGGTCGTCGCGCTTGGTATGGTAGGTATGCCGCCTCATCGATGCGGCCGCTCTGTCGTAGTACACCACTTTCATCAACATACGGTGACAGTTTGTATAAAGAGCTTCGTTTGCTAAGTTTGCGCTCCGCTGCCAAGTTGGAGATTTCACTCGCGCAACACTCACGCTGGACTAATTTGCAAATCATGTTTTCGGCAGCATCGATTTCTGTCACGCTCAGGCTCGTTGATGGATTGACTTCGCTATTTGGCTGCTTTCGAAATAAGCTCGCTGCACGCAGCACCCAAGCTGCGGTACGTCGCAGCTTCGAAAATGAACCAAATATTGAAAAATGTATGACTGAGTTACATGGCTGCACCAGTAGTATCGCTTCGGTCGTAATTTCTTCTGGTACGACGCCTTCCGGTTGTAGTGTTAGGGTAGGCCAATACTGCTCGTGGTACATTAAGAAGTCTGGACCCTTTACCCAACGGTTATTGATGTCGAATATCGGTGGACATGATGGGCGCGTGGCAGCGTCTGCAGTATTTTGTGCAGTTGGCACCCATCGCCATTGATATGGGGCAGTGGAGGTGAGTATTTCGGATATACTATGACCAACAAACGCCTTGTATTTTCTCTGCGATGAATGTATCCACTGCAGAACGGTTGGCGAGTCGCTCCAGAATACCGCCCGCTCGATCGTGAGCTCGTGGGATTCTTGGAATAATTTGAATAGACAGGTGCCCAGGACAGCTGACTGCAGTTCTAGGCGCGGGATCGACATGAGCTTCGTCGGAGCGGTACGAGGTTTTCCCATTACGAAGCTGACATCAACATTTCCTTCGTGGAGAGCTCGCAAGTACCCCACCGCAGCAAACGCAACTTGACTTGCATCCACAAACATATGCACCTCGACTTTACCCATGTTTGCGACGTGTTGTGAGGAGCACCGTGGAATCGTGAATTGCTTCATGCTGTTGATTTCTTGCCACCATTGTAACCACTTCCTGCCTAGCTCCATCGGGAGAATGTTGTCCCATTCTATTTCGCTCTCCCAGGTCTCTTGAATTAAAAGTTTAGTATTAATTAAGAAGTTAGACAACATACCAAACGGATCAAACTCCGCCATTACGATGCGCAGTAATTTCCGTTTAGTTGGTGCACGCGTTCTGTTTAGGACACCTTGGGGCACGCGATGAAACTATGTGTGGAAAGTATTTTCTTTCGTGTTCCAGTACAGGCCGAGCACCTTGTCTGCTTTTCCGTTTCGCACCATGCTGTCTGCTTCTCTTTCTGGCGACGTTGGTTGTTGGTTCATTATTTCTTCAACCTCACGATAGTTGGAGATAAAATTTCGCAGCTCGAATCCCGCATGCCGATTGATTCTAAATATCTCTTGGCAGATTCTTACGGCTTCTTCGGCCTCGTTGAAGCTGGCAACTAAATCGTCAACATAGTGTGTGTTGATAATCGTGGATACGGCGTCCGGAAACTGTGCTCAAAATTCGTTGGCGTTTTTATTCTATACTCGGCTATGCATGGCGAGCATACAGCACCGAATATTAGTGATGTCATCGCGTACTCTTCGATTGCTCGACTTTGGTCTCCGTCACGCCATAAAAAGAGTTGGACGTATTGATCATCTTGGCGTATCTTTATTTGTGAAAACATTTCACGCATGTCGGCTGATACTCCGATGCACCCCTGCCGAAATTGCAACAAAATTCTTATCGGCAATTGTGCTTGCACTGGCTGACGCATCAAAAACAATTCGTATTTTTTCAAGCTTATGGGGGTTGAAGACGGCGAAGTGAGGCAAGTACCACACGTTTAAGTCCGACGCGCAGACTTCGACTTCGCTCAGATTTCTTGCTTACCCTCTTTCAAAATACTTGGACATTTCCTCTCTGTACCGCACACGAAACTCGACGTCGCCTCCCATTATTTTTTCCACTGTCCACAAACGCTTTTCCGCCATGGATCGACTCGGGCAATTTCGGCGGATACTCTTTCCACAGCAACCCGACTTCGTACTGGTGTCCCATTTTTCTTGTCGTTTGTTGTAAATTTGACCGTGCGCGATTCTCTTCATCTGACTCTATCTTCTGCGGCAACGGATTGACACCAAAACTATCTGGTTTTGCACGATAATAGTTCAAAATTGGCATATCTTTAAGATTATCGAAATTTTCTTTTCTTAGTGATTGTTCGGGTAAATTAAATTTTTTACCGTGCACACATCTTTAAGCGCAAATCTATTCTTGTTAGTACAGTTCTCGATTTCAACGACAATTTAACTGGCTTGCTCGGTTACCATTTTATCGTCGTACCACTGCAGCGTGAGTGGATGTACATCGCTTTTAGCAGCGATCAAATTTGCTACGCCGGTCTCCATTATGGACACTGACGAACCTTCGCCAAATATGGCAAGGACCTCCCGCTTGCCGTCCGGGCCGTAAATATTAACCGGTAACATTTTAAATAATAAACCTTGCGAACTTTGTGTTACCCGACAATTTAGCAGTGGCTGCACAGCGGCATCCAATTGCGTGACTCGACGTGACGCTTGATCAGCTGCTTCCTCATTGTGAAGTAGCTGGTTGTGGTATCGTTGGCATCCATTCACCTCACACTTTCGCCTTGACCGACATTTCTGCGTACAGTGGCCCTTGCGCAAACATGAAAAGCATAATTGTTTTGTTTTGACCAGTTCCCACCGGTCCTGAACGCCTATCGACTTGAACGACACGCACTGTGCTATCATATGGCTTCCGCTGCAGTGGTAACATTTTAAAGTCTCTTTCGCTCGGTTGATATGCATGAGGCGACGCGGACTGTTCGGCGCAGCATTTTGTTTGCAGCTTTGTGTGCTTTTTGTCGGCATTAGACTGATTATCCTTGCCAAGTCGCTGAGCCACTCCGAAAAATGTTCGACTGTTGGATAACGCGTGATGGTCGCAGCGTTCTTCGCCCCATCGAATGGTCTGGTTTGCGTCAGCTTGATAATCATTTCCTCAAGCAACGTCACGTTTGACAAATGTTGTTTAAAATTCGCGGACTTCAAAAACGCCACCATATTACGGACTTTGGACGAAAACTGTATAATTCTCTCAACTTTGCTTTCAGGTATTGGCGGCAACTGCTGCAATTGGCTTATTTACCCTTTAACCAAAATGTCGGGCCGACCAAACCGCAACTCAAGCTCACACATCACGTTGGGCACATCATTCGGAAAAATTAACATGGCCGCCACTGCCTCTTTTGCCGGGCCAACCAGACATTTTTGCAACCGCATTAAATTTTGCCGGTGACTGTAACGAAACGCTGTGTCGTGTCGTTGAAATTTGCGTAGAACAATGGCCGCTGTGGTGTAGTGGTAAGCAGTGCGCACTTCCACACCGCAGCACCTGGGTCCAAGCCCTGGTCAAAGCAACATCGCAAAAAATATATAGAAAAAAGGTTTTTTCTTAACAGCGTTCGTCCCTCGGGAAGCAATGGTAAACCTCCGAGTGCATTTCTGCCATGAAAAACAGCTTCTCATAAAAATACAATCGCCGTTCGGAGTCGGCGTAAAACTGTAGGTCCCTCCGCTTTGTGTGACAACATCAAGGCGCACGCCACAAATCGGAGGAGAAGCTCGGCCAAACACTAACATATGTGTAAGCGCCAATCTATTATTATTATTATTATTAATGGCCATTCTTCAATATTACCGCCAAACGTAGGCAAGCCGTACAACTTTATGTGCGAATCGGTATCAGTCATGACGGCCTGGCGTTGTTCATCTTATGCTGGCTGCACATTACTCTGACTTGCACTTTGTGGCTGCATACCCTCGCGTAACCGTACAATGTCCTTTTGGGTATCTTCGGTACTTTGTCGAAGCTCCTCCACTGACTTCAACTCCTTTCTGGAGCACAACATTGAAGTAAAAATAAATGCAATGAAAAACGAGATCCTAACAGATATATCGAATGAGTTCCAAAAAAGTAATGAATATAGATTACGCGTAGCTAATGAGAATGTTAACCCCAAAACGTCATATGCTCAAGTCGCCAAGTTGAATGAATACAAAATTGTTATTAAACCGTAAAACAAAAACAAAAAAAGCAAAGGAGGCAAAAGAAGCACTAAAAAAAGTAGTTGAGCCTACGGAAGGTCTTGTTAAAAACGTGAAAGAAATAAATAGCGGTGGAATAATTGTAGAATGCAGAAATAAAGACGCGTGTGAAAAGGTGCAACAGAAAGTAAGAGAGGTTATTGGAAACGAATTTGAAGCAAATAAAACTAAAGATAGAAGTGAAATAAAGAGGATATTTAAGATTGTTGGCTTAACTGAGAAAATAAGTAAAGATCGCCTAGTGGAATGCTTAATAAAGCAAAACGACGTATGTACAAGAAAAGATTTAAAGTACTAAAAGTTTATGATAATGCTAATAGTAGAGAGGAAAGCTATATTGCATTGGTAGAATCTGAAGCTGTTACTTTTGAAAATGTGTTGCAACAAAAGAAGGTCTTTATGGAATGGAACACTTGTGTCGTTTATGAGCATTTAAATGTTTTGCGTTGCTTTAAGTGCTTGGGGTATAAACACAAAGCTAGCGAATGCACTAATAAGATAGCATGTAGCAAATATGCTGGAAATCATGACATTAAAGAATGTACCTCAAATATAGTTAAATGTGTAAACTGGAGCGAGTTGGTTAAGAAAAAAGTTACTGATGTTGATGTAAACCAGTACGCTTTCAGTATAGATTGTCCGGCGTATAAAAATCATACTCAACCAAAAAACAAATCGCGAATCTAGAAACGAATACTAAATGAATGAAATTCCATTTATTTAAATATCAGTAGTATCGTTGCTAACAATTATGAACTAGAGCGTCTAATAGAAGTACAGAAACCCCATTTGGTTCTTTGTTCAGAAAGTTGTTCGACAGCAGACATAACAAATCAAGAATTACACATACGTTTATACGCATGCATAAGTCGCTTTAGTTCATTTCGCCGCGATGCAAAACATATGTATAAACTGAATTTCAATTCGCTCTGAAAGAGCGAAGGGTTTTGGCTCACACTCCATTTCAAATCGGTAGTTTATTTCTCCAGACAGTTAGAAAGAGTGTATAAACACCCACGATGCAGCGAACAAAGGTGGCGCCGTCAGTGGTACCGCTACTTTGGTTTTGCCGATTTTGACAGTTGTGGTAACTTGTAAATAAACCTTTGTTTACAAATCAGCGAAAGAGAAATTTTAATTATAAGTGAAAAATCAGTTAAAATTGTGTTAATTTGCAATTTGTGAGTGATTTTTGAGTTGAGGCCTGCGTAAAAACTAATACAATAAAATGCTGTGTGTTAAATTGCGACAGCCGTCAAGATGCAAGAAGCGTAGATGCAAGTGTAGCGCTGGGACGAATCGCTGCATTTTGTGTACATAGGGCACGGCACAGCCGTTCCCGAAATGTTTCTCTATTATTATATTAACAGCATTTCCTCACAATGATTTTGTTTCTGCTCCACGCAGCCTCCATTAGCAAGTTAACTAATCAATCCCGCAGAGATTATTTGTTTACTTGTGGTACACAAATGTCAACGCCCAGGACGGCGCAATCTTGTATTCTATCATTCTTGATAAACACCGCTCTCACTCAAAGCGAATTGGAGATCAGCTGTTCCGCTCAAATTCCAAATAATCGCATCAGTATTTAAAAGCTGAGTAATAATAATCGTTCGTTTTCTTTGCCACGAGTTTATAATGCCGAATAAAACTAGATTTTTATCACTTTCCATTATGTTAACTTATAAAATGTCAAACGAAAACAGCTGATTTTGTTTGCTTTTGAAGACGGTTACTTTGATGCCGATATAAAGCCGTAAGTATAAACACTAGAGCGAAATGTGTACGGTGTCAATGCGCTTTCAATTAAGTCGATTATTCTGTGCGTATAATCGTAGTAATAGATTGAGTACTACAAATTACTGCGGTGTAATTCACACAACAGGCACACGGGTAGTGTTTCAGTATATGTACAGGATTCAATTGAATATGCAACAAGTTATAACCATTCGTTTAATAAAAATCTGTGGTGTATAATATTAAAAATTAAAAATATATTTCCTAAATATCAAATAGGTCTTATATACCATTCGCCTAGTTCGAGCGATGCAGACTTTATTACATACTTACACGAAATTTTAAATAATAGCTTTTTAACGCATGATAATATAGTCTTCATCGGGGATTTCAATATAAACTTGTACAAAAGCACCACTTATAGCAAACAGTTAGTTGACCTATTTCGGTCTTTTGCTATGGATCAAAAAATAGATTTTTATACTCGAAAAGGGGATAACACTGAAACATTGACTGATTTGTTATTTACGAATAGTGAATTTATTTCCTGTAAAAGATTGGAAGAAGATAGGATTACGGATCACGAAACCATTAATTTAACATAAAATTGGAAAAAATATTTAAAATGAGAGTTAGAAAACTTATAACTTTTTGGGAATATTACTCAAGCGATAGTCTTGTTAACCTATTACGACAATTCAACTATTGTGATTTCAAGAATATGAGTATCGAAAATAAGGTAAATTTTCTATATAATAATATATCAAGTGTAATGAGTACTATGACATACTCTAAAGAAATCAGCGTTAAATTGATGAATAAGTGGTACGATTCTGAATTAGCAAACCTCAACAAACATAAACTGAATCTTTACAACATTGCTTTACAAACAGGCGACTGGAATGAATACAATATTACCCGGCGTAGATACAAAAGGTTAATAAAGGTTAAGAAGACCAAATACATGAACACAAAATTACCTGTAATATCGGGGTCAGCAAAGCTATGTGGAAACACCTAAAAAAGTGCATATCTATGTCTAAGGAAACCAATGCCTTTAAAAGAATATTAATAAACGACCAACTTCTCACACATGAGGGTGAAATAGCGCACTCACTAAACAACTATTTTATAGATAGTGTCATGGAAATCAGCAGAAATAATAGTGCTGGAATTGGGGACTTCGTAATCACGGGAATTATCGCATCTACTTTTAAATTCCTAAAAATATCTACAATCGACATTCCGAATATAGTAAGCAAATTCAAAAACAAATTTGGTGGAAAAAAGCTCATATCTGAAGGAGTCATTAAAGACTCAATAACTGATACTGGATAATTTTATGCTCAAATTGTGAATGAAAGCTTAGAGAAAGGTGATTTTCCAAACTTCTGGAAAACGTCGATTGTTGTACCAATAGAGAAAATAAAAAATACTATCAGACCTGATGAGATTAGACCCATAAATACATTACCATGTGACGAAAAAATACTAGAAACAGTGGTGAAAAACCAACTTGTACAGTACTTAGGGCCGTTTGCACCATGTCTAGTTAACGCTAACTGGAGGTACATCCTTCAGTTAAGCACGTTAACTGCTTTATCGATCACATGTTATAG